CTATCTCTTCTGCTGATTCAGTAGTTGAACCAATAGTAGAAATTGTAACATGTAACTTTTAAAATAAATGATTTAAAAAAACATTATTATTCAAATTAAAAATTCAATAATTTTATATTATTAAGTGATAAAATGAATTGTTTTACCTGATATTCATCATAATCAAAACTTTCTTTCCATAAATTTCTTTTATTTTCTTTAGGAATCATTTTTGATAATTTCATACTAAATTAATTTGGATTGTATATATGTAGATTACAATTTACTTAGTAAATTCAAAGATAAACGTTAACCATATAATAAAATGAAACGTAAAAAAATTTTTTTTAAAAATTACGGAGTTCGGATAAAATTTATTCAACAAATAAGCCCCTGTGCAACATGTGTAACATTCAAAATTTTGAATACAAAAATTCTATATATAGTATTAATCTGATTGATAAAAATAAAATACTTTGTTACGCTATTGATCGGCATAAAAGAAAAAAAGGACATTTTCAATAAACAATCGGATTGAATGAAACCAAATAAAAATAATTTTCAGCCTAATAACTAGGTTGTAACTTGTTGCGTTGCCAACAGGATTAATGTAGTTTAAATCAAATATAACAAATCAATATTTAGGTAAATTAGATATATTAATGTTAATTATAAATAAATAAATACAATGAAAAAATGAATAATAAAAAAAATAAATAAATTGAGAAGTAAATAAAAATTGAATATAAAAAAAAAATTCAACTTTAAGAAACTGAAAAATAAAATATTTTTTAAAAAAATTGAAACCAATTAAAATCATCTTTTTTTTAGTTTGAAAAAAAATCCGAAAAAAAAATTTTTAAAAATTTCGGTCTATAAGAACTAGAAAAAAGTATTTGAAAAATAATAAAATTTCCGGTTATAAGAACTGAAAAAGTATTAATTTCCCAGTAATTCAAGTCAATATAAAAAAAATCGGCATTCAATAATGCCGGCCAAATTTCAGAAATTCCGGCTGAAATTTCGGAGATAACTCTACAACAGTTTTAAGTCACGCGATTTAGCACAAAAAATTTTTTCTTGTAGAGTTTTTCTTTGATTTTAGAGTAGTAGATATAAAATGAGCCTATTATAAATTTTCTTTTTCCGTTCTTAGAAACGGAGTTATGGAGTATCGTAGAATAATCACGGTAGTATACTGTATATATTTCCTTAATTTTATTGTATAAATTTATTTTTATATTTGCTTAATAAAGAGAATATGCAAAATTACAGGTTCATTTTTATAATTTAAATTATATTTCAGTTTTCTATAACTTCAATAAAATTAAAAATTAAATTGAACAAAAGCCCTTTTAACTTTTATCCAAGTTTTCATTATCACAAAAAAAAATAAATTTATGTCAAACTCATAATTTTATTGATCTCATTATTGAATGTGTTACTTGAACACAATTACATCACTATCTGATCAAATTGAAAGAGATGTTTGAGAATGGTAGAATCGTCTTAACTTGGCATTACCTTCATGTATTGTATGTTAAATCTTTTGCATCAAAATAGTTACTAGATAGTTAGAAATAAAACTAATTTACATAAATTAACAGCCAATAGCTATCTATATATTCACCAATAGCTAACCAATTTTTAATTTATTTTTGCTAAAACCAAATACTATTACATACAAAACCATAAATAATAACTAATATAAAAGAAATAATTTAATAATATAATTTTAATTAAACTAAATTCTTTTGATTCTCAAAAAAAAAAATCATTCAGTATTATTTTCTTCATCTTGATCACTTTCGTTAAGATCTACAAAAATAAGTAAATTAATAAGTATTAGCAAAATAAAGAACCAAAGAATAAGTAGTATCTTTACCTAATTCATCTAATTGACAATCAAAACATTCTGAACCTAGTATAAATTAATTTATATAGTATTAAAACAATATAAAGATTTATTAATTATATTGGTTACAAATAATTACTTACGTATTGATGTTGTTTTAGTAGCATCTATTAAAAAATAAAGTTATTAGTAATGTAAACTTTTTTTTGGTTATCAAAGATTAAATTACCTGAATTTACTGGTTCTGGAAGATTTTTGAAATTTAAAAGTCTACTAGTATATATTGCTTGTGGATGTGTTTGAATGTTATTAGATCTTTTTTCATCTGTTCTGTTTAATCCGATTTTATCATCATATTCATTTATTTGAGATTTGGTATCATTATCTTCTTTATTTTTACTATTATGCCATTCAAATAATGTTTGATATAATTCTTTAGCAGTTGGTCTATTTTCTGCTTTAGCATCCCAACATTTAGTAATCAAATCTGCAAGTAATTTTGGTGTATATTTAAAAATATTTGGTCTAAGTCCTTTACATATTTTAATAGATAAAGCATGATTATGAGGAATATTATTATAAGGAGTTTCTTCAGATATAAATTCATTCATCATTATTCCAAATGAATAAATATCAGATTCTTTTGTATATTGATATCCACGTAAAACTTCTGGTGCCATATAAGGTAATACTCCATAAATTCCTTCTTGTTTAACTGATTGCTTTTCATTATTTGCTGGTTGGCACATTCCTAAATCACTTATAA